TATATATACATACATACATACATACATACACACACACATACATAATGTACATTTTTTATTATTATTTTATGTAGTATTTGAAGCAGACTGATGAAATTTATGAAGCTGTGTCACATGTTTGAATCACGTAATCAGTCCCATATTTCCATTTGTGTGATTTCATAGATTAAATGACTTCACTATTACAGTAAAATGTGGAAATCATGCAGAACGAGTAGGTGTGTGGAAGCTTTGGTACTGTACACCCAACCCAAGGTCCTGATTTAATGCTCCACACAACCTATAATCAAAAACAATCAAGAATCAAAGACTAAACAAGCTTGAAGTAAACAAGACCCATCATGATTAGATGAAGTCACAGCACAGAACCACAAACCAGCTAAAGCAGCGCTTGTGTGAGTGTTTACAGTCAGATATCCTCTCATTATACTGTCAGCATCTTCAGCTCCAGTCATGTGACATTTGACAGTCCATCCATACGACCCTCTCTACAGACTTTTACATTGGAATTAACTTATACATGTTCACATCCAATTCATCCATTTCCATATTACTCCAACGCTCTTCAAAGAATACCACGGCACGTGACAAAACAATTTGGTAGTACTGTGGTAATTAGTGTTAGTCAGGTCCTCGACGTAAACACAAGCACCTCAGATTACAGTGTGATCAAATATTAACAGGAAGACACCGTCTCTCAGTCCGTTAGGCACATGTCGTTTGTAAACACAGCAGGACTGTCACGTACAGAGACATCGGAATGTATAGAGAACGACGAGAGAAACGTTGTAACATTCGAATATTGCTACATTTAAACATTGTAGCGTTGGGCCTGCGCGTCCGCGCGCTTAAAGTGACACAAAGTAACAACTGACAGATGAACAAAGAGACGAATAAAGACACTCCTGCGCTTCCTAAACTAGAGATCCCCGCTTTACCCAGCAGCTAAACTAGTACTTTTATTCACCCCGTGTGGGGCGGTTTCATTTGACAGTTCGAGTCTTTTATTTTAGGCCTCTGAGAGAGAAATAACCGCATCCTATTGAGCGCAGCAGAGCTTCAATAACTGACATCAAACTGAATGGAGAGAGACTTTACCGAGACGGATTTCACTGAGGGCTCCGGCGCATTGCTGTGGAGGAGCTCGCTGCTTCGGGTGCTACTTTAATCCCGCAGAAAACAGGTAAAAGTGTTTTGATGAGCACAAGCGTGTCCTCGCTTCTCCTCCACTACACTCCACAGCGAGAGACTCCAGGCTGCGGAGAGAGTCTGGCGAGAGCGGCGCGCTGGGTCCTAGAGCCCGCCGCACACTCACACTGACAATACACTAAACTACAGTACAGTACACCACAGTATACTACAGTACAGTACAGTATACTACACTACACTCCACAGCGAGAGACTCCAGGCGGCGGAGAGAGTCTGGCGAGAGCGGCGCGCTGGGTCCTAGAGCCCGCCGCACACTCACACTGACAATACACTAAACTACAGTACAGTACACCACAGTATACTACAGTACAGTACAGTATACTACACTACACTCCACAGCGAGAGACTCCAGGCGGCGGAGAGAGTCTGGCGAGAGCGGCGCGCTGGGTCCTAGAGCCCGCCGCACACTCACACTGACAATACACTAAACTACAGTACAGTACACCACAGTATACTACAGTACAGTACAGTATACTACACTACACTCCACAGCGAGAGACTCCAGGCGGCGGAGAGAGTCTGGCGAGAGCGGCGCGCTGGGTCCTAGAGCCCGCCGCACACTCACACTGACAATACACTAAACTACAGTACAGTACACCACAGTATACTACAGTACAGTACAGTATACTACACTACACTCCCCAGCGAGAGACTCCAGGCTGCGGAGAGAGTCCGGTGAGAGTGGCGCGCTGGGTCCTAGAGCCCGCCGCACACTCACACTGATAATATACTACACTACAATACAGTACAGTACACCACAGTATACTACAGTACAGTACAGTATACTACACTACACTCCCCACAGCGAGAGACTCCAGGCTGCGGAGAGAGTCTGGCGAGAGCGGCGCGCTGGGTCCTAGAGCCCGCCACACACTCACATTGACAATACACTACACTACAATACAGTACACCATAGTATACTACAGTACAGTACAGTATACTACACTACACTCCCCACAGCGAGAGACTCCAGGCTGCAGAGAGAGTCTGGCGAGAGCGGCGCACTGGGTCCTAGAGCCCGCCACACATCCACACTGACAATACACTACACTACAATACAGTACAGTACACCACAGTACACTACAGTACAGTACAGTATACTACACTACACTCCCCACAGCGAGAGACTCCAGCCTGAGAAGAGAGTCCGGCGAGAGCAGTGTGCTATACTACACTACACTACAGTATACTACACCACACTACACTACAGTATACTACAGTACAGTACACCACAGTATTCTACACTACACTACAGTATACTACACCGCACAGCACTACACTACAGTATACTACAATAAACTACACTACAGTATACTACACCACACTACACTACAGTATACTGCAATACACTACACTACATTACACTACAGTATACTGCACCACACTACACTACACTACAGTACACTACAATACACTACACTACGCTATACTACACTACACTACACCACAGTATACTACACTACACTCCCCACAGTGAGAGACTCCAGCCTGTGGAGAGAGTCCGGCGAGAATGACGCATAGGGTCCTAGAGCCCGCCGCACACTCACACTGACAATACACTACACTACACTAAGTATACTACAATACACTACACTATACTGCACTACATTACACTACACTACAGTATACTACACTACACTACATTATACTACACTACAGTATACTACACCACACTACACTACAGTACACTACACTACACTATGCTACACCAAACTACACTACACTACACTACAGTGTTCTACACCACAATACACTACAGTATACTACACTACTACACTACAGACAGGGCTAGAGTTTATACATATGTATAATATAAAATAATTTCATCATTTAATAATTTGCTCGTTTAATATTTGATTGCTGTATATGTATAATATAAAAGACATTTATAAAGACACAAAGAAAAAATACTGTTTGTGTGTGTTTCAACAAAAACGGCTGTGAAAATATATTGTGCATTCGTTTGATCTTTCATTTCATTCAAATAAATCACAAAAATCTAACTTTTCAACAACCTTTCAATTTGTGTTTATTTTAAATATTCATTAATAAGGTATTTTATTAATTAATTTTTATTCCTTTTTTACAACTGTTAATGTTTGATCAAGAAAATATGTGATTTGATTTTCTAGACAGTTAACAAACTATAATGTTTTTTATTTTTTATTTAATTTTTTTTATTCTTTTTAATTCATTTTAAATATTAACTAATAATATATTTATTATGCATTTAAAAAATATTTTTTAGTTATTTATTTTATTTTTATATAGAAATTGTTACTGTATGACAAAGATATGTGCAAATAAGAGTATAAAAACTATAATGTTTTTCTATTTTTAATCGTTATTAATTACAATATTTATGAATAATAATTTATTTATTATTATTTTTAATTTTTAATTATATGTATATCTAATGTTATACAGAAATTGTTACTGTATGACAAAGATAACATTGAGAGCTACAATGAGTTTCTGAAGAGTTAACAAGCACAGTATACTACAGTACAGTACAGTATACTACACTACACTCCCCACAGCGAGAGACTCCAGGCTGCGGAGAGAGTCTGGCGAGAGCGGCGCGCTGGGTCCTAGAGCCCACCGCACACTCACACTGACAATACACTACACTACAGTACAGTACACCACAGTATACTACAGTACAGTACAGTATACTACACAACACTCCCCACAGAGAGAGACTCCAGGCTGCAGAGAGAGTCCGGTGAGAGTGGCGGCTGGGTCCTAGAGCCCGCCGCACACTCACACTGACAATATACTACACTACAATACAGTACACCACAGTATACTACAGTACAGTACAGTATACTACACTACACTCCCCACAGCGAGAGACTCCAGGCTGCGGAGAGAGTCTGGCGAGAGCGGCGCGCTGGGTCCTAGAGCCCTCCGCACACCCACACTATAATGTTGTTAATTCATTTTTAATTTATATCTATTTTAAATATTAATAATAATATATTTTTATCATTTTATATTTTAATTTTTTAATTTTTTTTAATTATATGTATATCTAAGTATATTTACAGCAAGTTTCTGGAACTTAACAGTATGAATTGTTCACAAGAGATATGAACATTGAGCTAAACAGCTTATTTTGTTCCACAGAGGACAGAAAGTGATGACAGAATTGTCATTTTTAGGTGATCAG